TGTCTCCTGCATCGGCAGGCGGACTCTCAACCACTGCGCCACCAGGGAAGCCCCAAATATTTTTTAAAAATTAGGGAATGATCGTTAGTTTTTTCAGGTAAGCTAAAGGTATTTTGCGGTCATGTAGAATGTAATTTTGTTGTTTTTCTTCCTTGTTTGTTTCTTTCTTTATTTTTACAGTGGAAGAGACCTGAACTTATAGTTAGACTAAGGGAAGGAACCAGAAAAAGGGAAAGGGTGGAGACATGGAGAGAGAAATAATGGATTTCAAGAGGTTCCTGAGGAGAAGGGAACCTTTTGGAAGGAAGAAGATGGAAGCAAGTTGAGGGACCCCCGGCTGGCAGCCCCCATTTTCTCAGTGGGCAGGAGAAGGCAAGGCCACCTCTGAGACTGAAGAAGCAGATTCGGGATGGTCCTTGAGGAGAAAACAGATTTGCAGCGACCACTGAGAGGATGAGGGGCAGTGGTCAAAGAATGGATAAGGAGCTGCCCTGAAGGCCCAAATCAAAATTTAAAGCACCCATCTGTAGAGGCCCCAACCCTCGCATCATGCGGTTTTCTGAGGCAGTTCTCTTAGCAGGCGCATTAGGGGGGAGAAGGCAGAGCTTGGCTGCGGCAGGTGGAAGGAGCGTGGCTCCCACTGGTCTGGGAGGGAGGCCGAGAAAGGCAGCCTCAGCGGGAGCTGAGCCTGGCAGGGAAGGGAAGGCATGGGGAGGTGAGGTCTTGATGAGGGATGGGGCGGGGGGATGGTGAGAGAACATGAAGGGAGGACAGAGCCTCGAGCAAATCACAGCCCCCCTGCTCTACTGGAGGAAGAGAGCCTCAGGGTCCCGCATCACCCCAACATGCTGCAGGAAGCTTCCCTCCCCTCCCAAAGGACTTGACTTCAGGTTGTGGTGCAGTGCAAGCACAAGGGCCTGCAGGCGAGGATCTGAGATGAAAGAGCATTTTTTATTTTATTTTTTTTGCGGTACGCGGGCCTCTCACTGTTGTGGCCTCTCCCGTTTCGGAGCACAGGCTCCGGACGGGCAGGCTCAGCGGCCATGGCTCACGGGCCCAGCCGCTCCGCGGCATGTGGGATCTTCCCAGACCAGGGCACGAACCCGTGTCCCCTGCATCGGCAGGCAGACTCCCAACCACTGTGCCACCAGGGAAGCCCAAAAGAGCAATTTTTTAAAATTCAGGTAAAGTTCACAAAACATAAAATGAACCCTTTTACAGTGCACAATTCAGTGGCATTCAATACATTCACAGTGTTTTGCAACTTAAGGAAAACCCCAAAAGGAAACCCACTTCTTAGTCATTAATCAGTCACTTTCCGTTCCTCTCCCTCCCAGACCCTGGCAAACACTAATCTGCTTTCTGTCTTTATGGCTTCACCTATTCTGGATATCTCATCTAAATGGAAATATAACACGTGACCTTCTGGGTTGTTTCCACCTTTTGGCTATTGTGAGCAGTGCTGCTATGAACGTTGGTGTTACAAGTATTTATTTGAGTATCCATTTTCCATTCTTTTTGGTATATATACCTAGAGAGAATTGCTGAGTCATATGATAATTCTATATGTTTAACTTTCGGAGGAACCACTAAACTGTTTTCCGCAGTGTCTACACCATTTTACATCTCCACTAGCAACGTACAAGGGTTCCAATTTCTACACATCCTCACCAACATGTCATTTTATAGGATTTTTAAAAATATAGCCATCCTGGTGGGTGTGAAGAGGTATCTCACTGTGGGTTTTTTTTGACTTGCATTTCCTTAACGATTAGTGACGCTGAGCATCATTTCATGTGCTTGTTGGCCATTTGTGTATCTTCTTCTTGAATGTCTATTCAAGTCCTTTGCCCACTTTAATTGGGTTTTCTTTTTGCTGTTGAGCTGTAAGAGTTTTTCATATATTCTGGTTACTGGACCCTTATCAGATATACAATTTGTAAATATTTTCTCCCATTTGGTTTGTTGTCTTTTCACTTTCCTGACAGTGTTCTTTGATGCACAAAAGTTTTTAATTTTGAAGAAATCAAATTATCTATATTTTCTTTTGTTCCTTTTGTTTTTATTGTCATATCTAAGAATCCATTGCCAAATTCAAGATCATAAAGTTACACCCCTATATTTCTTTTAATCTATGGTTTAGCTCTTACATTTAGGTCTTTAACCTACTTTGAGTTAATTTTTATATATGTTGTGAGGTAGGGATGAAAGTACAAACTTTAAATCCGTGATCCTTCATAATAATTTTATTATTTACACTAGGCTAATATATTAGATTGTTTATGTAAAGGACCTCGGTATTCTCAGATTTAATATTTTCATTTTATCCTCACAGAGTGACCTCAGAAGGTCAGGGCACATAGTCATTGCACTGTCCCTGAGACACCCATTTGGACCTCTCAGGCAATAAGGCAGGTATGCAGAAGCCAATCCCTAAGCAAATAATTGAGCTTAGTTGGCTCTGGCTCCCCCTCGTCTCCTGACTTTCCTGGTCTCTCACTGTCATCCCAAGTTCAGATATTCTCACTAAAGACCTGAAAGCATCACTTAAATTTAAAAAATTATACTTTACTGCATATGATGTGCAGGAATGGTATTAGCAAAACCAGACTTTTTGCTGACAAGTTTTACCATAGCTTCAATCCTTGAGGTGGTCAAGTACAAGCTGGATAAAGATCCATTAAGGATGAAGAAAGAAAGAGAGAGAAGGTCCCAGGCTTAGAGAGCTGGAAAGAGCACCTGGTTGAGGGACACCGCTAGCAAAGCCTGCCTCTGAAGCTGAACTCTGAATCTATTGCAATTATCTGACTCAACTTACTTATAATCACCTCTCCTTACATAATCTCCATTGTCTGCAGTACGGTAATCATTAGTCAGCTGCTTTCTTGCTAATACTGTGATTCACTGTGATGGGGAATCTAGGAATTTGCAGGATTCTGAATTTTCAAGGCTGTAGCTAACAAAATGCCTACCCTAGGCCAGGATGTGCTGTAGGGAACGCTAGAGCTGGCAGCCACATGCTTCTATGTCTCCCCCGCCGACCCCTGGGGAGATACCCTCTGGATGCATTGATGACTGGTTTAGTTTCCATGTACATGTTCTCTTCTAGACTATAGTTATCTTAAACAGGGCAAGTGAAACAGTAACTGAAGCTGTTGCCAGAGCAACATGACAAAAGAATTTACCCTCAGCTACTGTATATGTAATTTGTCAAAGGCAGCTGGCTCACAGAGAGAGGAAAGAGGGGAATAGGTTGTTAGTTTTGGTCTTTGAAAGAAGAGTTGAAAGATTATCTTCTGGTTAAATCAACGTAAGTAGAACAGGAAAGCAGCTGTGACCTGTGCAATAAACATTCAGAAAAGTCAGGTTGGGAAGGCTAAGAAGAAAAACCTTAAACTTTATTATTATTTTTTTTTTCCTGGTGATATTTGTAAAATAGTTGCATGTCAGGGCTTTTAACACCAAGCTGCTTGAAGACCTGGAGCTGAAAGTATTCCCTGAAGGGGAAGGAATAGAGAGAGAGCAAGAAATGGAAGAGAACAACTGGGATATTCAAGTATGTTAGATACACACAAAGCTGAGAGTTCTTGACATATCTGATAGCTCTTCTCTCCCAAAACCATAAGCCCTCATGATAGCAGCCACTTGTACTGAGACCAGTTACATTACAAAGCTTGGACTGAGTTCAATCCACTCAGGCTATCAATGAGAAGCCAGGCTCATGAAAGATAACCCGCTCGAGGTTACCCAGCTAGGAAAGGGCAGAACTAAGCCAGAAGCCCTGTTTCCTGCTTCCCTGTGATCTTCCCACTTATCTGATCCCTCTGTCCTGTGAACATCAGTTTACTCTGTCTTCGAAAGAAGCCCAACCTGGACAGCTTTCAAAGTATGCCCCGTGGAGTCAGGGGCCAAGCTTTGAGGGCACTGGGCACACCCTGCTCTCAAAGAAATACCTCCCTTTCTATTTTTACATCTATTGGGGCCTCACCTAAACCTATTTAAGGGAAAAATCACTTTTAAAAGTCAGAAACCAAATAGGAATGGATCATAACAATGCTGACCCAGAGGTTCTACACCCCCTCCCCACCATTCCCACTTCCAAAGCCCCTTGGGCCTCCTTACCGAGTTGGTGCCAAGGATCTGCAGGTTGGGCTTCTCAGACTCAAGCAGCTTGGCCACCATCTTGAGGAAACTCTCCACGAAGAGGTTGATGCTCTGGCAGTGACAGGCCATGAGCAGCTGGTCCAGCGCCTCCATGGCGATGCACACGTACCTGGGGAAAGCAGCATCATTGCCATCACTCAGCCTCACGCCTGTTCCGCCCCCACTGCATGACTGGGGCAATTCTAGATGGCAGTGCAGTGACCACCTGGGCAGCATCGAGCTAATGCAGCTCTTCCCCCCCAGGTTGCTGATGACTGGACAGTTGTTCCAACAAGTGCTCACTCCAGCCCAGCCCTGAGAAGCAGAATGAAGCAGAGCTGGAAGGGAGCCTAGAGATGAATTCATCCAGCCCCTTATTTTACACATGAAGAACTTGAGGACAGACAAGGTACACCATTTCATGAGGAAATACAAGCAGAAAGAATTGATGCCCAGAAGAGCAGCTTCTGAACTCAAAGCCAGTGAGGTCAGAGAATTACTCATCAAAGTCAAGACGTGTTTGTTGACACTGTCCTCGTCAGTGCAGGGGTGTAAGGATGAAGAAGTCCTTTAACTTAAAGAGCCTAGAGTGGGAGGGATAAGATAAATACACAGACATCTCCTCTAAAGGGAAAATAAGAAATGTTACCAAAAAAATGACATCCCACGAGGGCTCCAAAGAAGGAAAGAGGCTCTAGCGGGGACGAAGCAAAGAACTTAATGAAGAAAGTTTATGAAGAATCTGAAATGGGCCTGAGGACCAGCCAACTGCAAATGTTAAGGAACATAAAATTGCAATTTTGTAGTTGAAGACCTCAGAAGTTCTATAATAAAGTATTACTCAAACTATATGGTTGACAGTGTTACCATGTTTGGATGACACTCAGCTTGCCCAGGGAGCATTTTTACCTCATGGAGAATAAGACACACACAGAATGAAAATTCTTTTCTCCTTATGCAGCAGGTGCTCTGTGGCAATTCTAAGTCTCTAACCACTTAATTATTCTAAAGACTAAAACCCGAGTGAATACTTTCACAAACTAGGAACGCACGACATCCAATGGTGAAGAGCTGCCCATCCCATTTTTTGACAACCAAATGAACACCTCTTTATATTTCAAGCAAACCCTAACCCTAATAACCTCCGTCCTTTATTCACAATTCTACTTTTAGAAGCAGCAAAAAAGAGAGCTGAACCTTCTCCTACCTGCCAGCCCTTCAACCACATGAAAACAACAGTCTCATTTACCATGTTCCTCTCTTCTCCATGCTAAAAATACCCAATCCTGGGAATTCCCTGGTGATCCAGTGGTTAGGACTCTGCGCTTTCACTGCTGAAGGCCTGGGATCAATCCCTGGTTGGGGAACTAAGACTCCCACAGGCCTTGCAGCACGGCCAGAAAAATAAAATAAAATAAAATAATAAAATGCCCAATCCTTTCCAGACTAGCCTTTGCAGGACAAACCCCAATTACTGTCTTCTTCAATGCCTCTCTTAAATCCCAAGAAAAAGGTCACAAATCAAATTCCTACCGAGAATCAGGAATACACATCTAAGCTCAAACCCAACATTTGTTCCACGATAGTGACATAATGAGCATTTGGTCAGGTAAGGCACATCATGAAAGATACATCCCCTACATACCAAGCATTTGCATTCTAAAGAAAACAAGGCAGGGCTTCCCTGGTGGCGCAGTGGTTGAGAGTCTGCCTGCCAGTGCAGGGGACGCGGGTTCGTGCCCCGGTCCGGGAGGATCCCACGTGCCACGGAGCGGCTGGGCCCGTGAGCCATGGCCGCTGAGCCTGTGCGTCTGGAGCCTGTGCTCCGCCACGGCAGAGGCCACAACAGCGAGAGGCCAGCGTACCGCAAAAAAAAAAAAAAAAAAAAAAGAAAGCAAGGCAGACATTCATAGAAAAAGGTTATCTTTTAACTTCTAATAAGGGAGACTCTGCAAAACTATTCTGGTTAAAATCTTTACAGTTTTCATTAAGGAGTTAGGTGTCTAGGGCAGAATGCTAAATGTCTCCCCTGGAATCTATTTTTGCCCTTTTCACTAGTCATTTAGAAGTTTAGCTGAGCTGTGGCTGCTCACTGGGAACATTTCCCAGCCTCTCCTGCTGCTAGGTGAGGCCACGTGACTTACATGTTGCCATGAAAATGAGAGGGAGTGATGCGAGCAACATCCACATTGCTTGCTTGAAAGACAGGATTGTCCTCCGGGTCCTCTCTTCCCTCTTCCTGCTGGCTGCAGAGTGGCAGCAAATAGATGGCCAGAGGTGAAAGCCCCGGATGACCTCATGGGCGGAGCCCATCAACCCAGACTGGACTATTGCATGAGAGAGAAAAAATATTTCCATATTGCTGGAGCCACTGTATTTTCAAGTCTCTTTATACCCTAAGTAACATAAGTATCTGATAATCAGGTTTAGGAGTGCTTTAGAAACGTGAGGGCACAAATAAAAGTGAATCCTGACCAATCCAAAGCAACTCAAGTGACTGCCCTCACAGGAAAGAGAAGTAAGGGCTGAACATGACTCCATCCTGCAAGAGGGGAGATCAGGCAGACTCCATGTACTCTGAGTGTGGTCATGTGCCCATTAAAGGGTGGTGACCCCTCTACTCATAGAGCCATGTGGAACACAGGAAGTACTCCAGATACAAACAAAATATAGGCAAGGTAGAGTGAGAAGAGAACTCCAAACCTACCTGGGTGCTAAGGAGTCAGGCTGATGCCTTTAAGTCAAAGCAAGTAGCAAAAGCCCTCTCTTTAAGAAGCTGCCTAGAGGGACTTCCCTGGTGGTCCAGTGTTTAAGAATCCGCCTTCCAATGCAGGGCACACTGGTTCGATCCCTGGTCAGGTAACTAAGATCCCACGTACTGCAGGCAACTAAGCCCTCACGTTGCAACTACTGAGCCCACACGCCACAACAAAAGACCCAGTGTGCCACAATGAAGATCCCGTGTGCCACAACTAAGACCCAAAGCAGCCAAAAAAAAAAAACAAACAAATTAAAAAAAAAAAAAAAGAAGCTGCCTAGTGTCAGGTTTATATGCCGTGTATATAATAGGGGATGAATTAAAAGATTTATTCTTTATGTTTTGATCCAAATCATATCTCTTTGAAGGTTAGGCAGATGGTACAAAACTCTTGATTAGCTAGTCTTTGTTTTAAAACAGAGTTTGGTTAAATAAAAAGAATGCACAGGAAGCATGACTATAGGATGATTTCTGAAGATACTACAAAACCACAACACAAAGCTCTCGTGGCAGCCACTCAGTTTCAGACATTGTGCATCTGAACTGCCTCACACGTAAGTCAGCTTTGCAAATCCATGTGTATAAAAGTAACAGCAGTCATGACATTTTCTAAATGTCTTTTTTTAAAGACATCAGTCACCATTTCTTCAGTACCCTTGCACTGCTGTGGCCTCTCCCGTTGCGGAGCACAGGCTCCAGACGCGCAGGCTCAGCGGCCATGGTTCATGGGCCCCGCCACTCCGCGGCATGTGGGATCTTCCCGGACCAGGGCACGAACCCGTGTCCCCTGCATCGGCAGGCGGACTCTCAACCACTGCACCACCAGGGAAGCCCTCCTTCTCACTTTTGTAAAATGTTTATTTCTTTTATCTATATGAACTGAGTCAGCTATTATTATTGTTTAATATTATTAAATTAAAATATTATTAAATATCATTAAATAGCTGTCTCTGGGCACATTCACAAATGGATCTGGTCATGCTCTTATCTATAGAGTGTCTTTCAAATGCAAAGGCAGCATTGGGTGTTTGGGCTCGTATGGTGAACTGGATCCACGTTTTCTCCTGCTCTGGAGGGCCCGCCAGTCCTCGATAGCCTTGCCCTTCACAGGATGTCACAGCCACAGTTCAGGATACCTGTCGTGCCTTGCAGACCCAGGCCTGGCATGTTCCGGGTCCACTGTATAGGCCGTGAAGCAGACTGATTCCTGCAGGGTTGGGGAAGCAGCCTGGGCCTGGGCCCTTCCAAAGGGACAGGTTTTCCCTGCGGAGAAACCTGGACACATTCTGGCAACCAAACATGGCGGATGGGAAATGGGAGCAGGCAGCATGGAATTCTCTTCTTCTATGAATCATCCCAGCATCCTTTTGCACGAAGGGTTTCACCATTATTTTATAGAGTTTAAATGAGGGAAAGGAAGGGGCGGGGTGGGGTTTGGCAAGAGAAGAAACCAGAAGGCCTCCCAAACCCCAGAGCTTAGATTGCTGCTTTTCCCTTTCCTGTAAAAAAATTCCCAGAAAATCCTGATAAGGAAAACCATCCTTTGCTAGCCAGACCAAAAAAAAAAAAAAAAAATAATAAAAAATTATCACATGATTAGCATGATTAGGTCCACCTTTGCAAGCCAAAAAAAAAAAAAAAAAAAAAAAATTGGCTACTGACCAAGAGAGGAAATTTTGATGGAAAGTGAAAATGATGGTAGAAGTAAAACAGAAAAGTAAAAAAGTTTAAGGCCTAATTCTCTGAATACACACTCCTTCAATCCCCATCTTTGATCCCAACACTAAGGATGGAAGGATTATAATTGCAAACTTGAACTTTTCAAAGTATCCTAGAAGATTAGAAGTCAATGGGCTTTGGAACCTCCTGCTCGCTGCATTGGTCCTCTCTTATCATAACCTTCCTGGGTACATCTTATCCATTAAGTCTATACTTTCAAAGGGAATAGAGCACGGGCTTCTCAGGGTAATGTCCACTCAACAGGACTGGGGCCAAATAGGTTAGTCTCGGCAGAGATCTGTTCTGGGCTTGGTATCCTGAAAGGAGTCCAGTGTGGTAATAGGTCTGAGAAACTGGCCTGACTGGGTAGTTGGAACAGGATGGGGAAGAAAGGAGCTGGTGAGAACTAGCCCACCACAGGGGCCCAAGGGAGAGGCAAGAGTAGGGCATGGACCACAGCAGCAGGTGATGACCAAGGTGATGACCAGGTGACTTGGATCCACTAGTAGGGCTTCCCAGTAGGTGAAGAAGGCAGAACTCAGGGAATCTGGGATGGACTGGGGTTCACAGGCAGCAAGTGAGGTCAGGAGAGGCTACTCAGCAGGTTATAACAACAGGAACTCAGGGTCATGGGCCAACCAAAGCAGAAGGTGAGTTATAACAAGTGAGGAAAATACACAGGGGGGGCCTGGTGCTTAGGAGTGAGGCAGGAAATACCTTGAATTGAATTCCAGAACAGGCAGCTGCTTCTGATTGATCACCTTTCACTCAGTCAGGAGTGGGCTCAGGAGCCTCCAGGAAAGGAGGAACTGGCAGTCAAAGTCTGAGAACCAGACTTGGTTGCAGAGGAAAGCAGATCTAGGGTCAGAGATGGGAACCAGCACACAGAGAGAGGGGGCAGCTTTAGCAGGGCCAGTCATTGCCCAAGAATCACTCAAAGAACCTTGACAAAGAACCTCTTATTCTGGGCAGTCTGAATGTATTTAGTCATGTCCCCACTGCTGGACAGAAACTCCTGGGTTTTAGCAGCCAGAAGTAGGCGCTGACCTCAGCCAAGGGAGGGAAGGATCAACTCGTCATCTAGTAGGAATCTGTGACATCTCTGTCTGAAGGGTCAGCTCCGTCCTCCAACCAGGTTCAGGGTCCTTCTGGGGACAGTATATCTCTTGGGAGCCCCACCAGCTCAGCTCCAGGGTGAGGCTCCTCAGGGAGTAGCCCACCCCTCTTTGGCATGGGCGTCTCCACCCTCCAGGCACTGGGGAACCTGACAGATTCTAATGTGGTCTTCTGAACGTGGTCATCGCTCCATGGTCATTGTCAGCTGACCCTGAATCTCACCTAGCACTGCCGTTACCTCCCTCGCTCTCCAGTTTCTAGGGATGTTCTAGCAGTTGGGCTGAACTGGGAGGAGAAAAGTATGAAGAATTCTCACTTTTTGCTGCTCTGCACATCACTGCCCATTATGGCGCACACTGAGTAGCAATACCTTGAAATTTGTATCTTATCCTCCCTCTGCCCACGTTTGGTTATCACCCTTGATGCTAAACACATACGAGCAGAGGAGGGTGGATCTGCCACTGGGTCCAACACCCAAGGTTCACGTCCACATGGTCAAACCATAAACACAGACACCTGCATGGTGGTAGGGAGACAGCTCCTCAGACTGTCTGCAGGTAAATATTTCACTCTTCCAAACCTGCCATCAGTGGTTAGGACAATGATGATGAATGTGGCATTGGGTAAGGAAAGACAGGGAGGGAGAGGAGACAGAACAGGAGAACAGATCTAACAGATTTTTCTTCTCTAAATGTTTATGATTAGAGCCCCCAGTGAGGCCGTCAAGGCTTTAAATACTTAGATGCTGCAATGGTTATTTTTAACAGAACGATACCAATTTTGAGTTGCAGTTCTAAGGGCAGTGGAGTGTTTCTGAGTGGCTCTGCTGGCTACAGGACATTTTTACTGAGAGAACCATCACTGCAGAGAGGGCAGGAAAAATTAGTATTAAATGTTTAATGGTATTGCTTGCATATTAGTTTCAAGTTCAGTCTAGGATAAAGTCATTTTTACTTGCTTGAGCCTGCTTTATAATATGTCAAGGCGATTTATATAATCAGCATGTTCGTTATATTCATGCCCTTTTTACTGAGCGTATAACCTAATTTTATTATAGAAAGAGATCATAGAAATGAATTGTTTCCAGTCTTGCTTTTATACCGGGGATAGCTTGATATAAGCGTGGCTGGTGGGTCCTGTGGAGGTGTGGACCTCTATACACTGCCAGCACAATGCAGATCTTTACACTCTGGTTCTCAGTCCACCTTCCTCACCAGGAGGAAGGGACCTTGGAGGGTGATGGGGCTGATGGATGGTAGTAGGGTGGGAAAGAGGGTCCAGGGGAGAGATCATTGCAAAGGCTCAGAGGCCAGAAAGCCAGGGGGGGATCGTCAGCTAGTCCATCTGGAATGGGTTTCGAGCAGCTGTGGCAGGTGTGGCTGGGTTAAAGGCAAGTTGGGGGCAGGTAATGGAGGAGCCCAGAAATCAAGCTGAGACCTTGGATTGTACGCTAAAGAAGCCAGGGAAAGTATAGCTTGGTCTGTGTTTTGAAGATCATAGTGTTGATCTGGAAGGGCCAGTACAGGAAAGATGGGAAGGAGGGAGACAATTTTCAAGGCCACTGCCATAATCCGGAGCCTGCATCAGGAGAAAGGTAGGAGCAGAGGAAAGTAGAGGATGGACATAAAAGGCTTCATAGAGAACAGAACCAGTGGGACTTAGGAACAACCTCCCTAGATCTACCCTTCCCTTTGCTCCAACAGCCGTGCCACCAGGGACATCTTAGAGCTCTCTTTACATCCAGCCCCACTGCAGATTGTGGCATGACGGTAGCGTAAAAAACATGGTATGTCCTGCCGTTGACTTTTTTCACTGAGGAAGTAATACATGCTCAATAGAGAATATTTAGGAAACACAATAATGTAGATAGAAACCAAAAACCCCAGCCACATTGTTCACAAAATATTAAGAATACTCAATATTTATTTTTACTGTATTTTCCAGGCATTGAGATTTGTTATTGTTTTTAACTTGATTTAAATACTGTGTATATAAGTATGTATTCTATTTTTCATTTACTTATGGCATTTTCCATATTATATGGAAAGTATGTTTATAAACACCATTTTTATTGACTAGGTAACATTTCCTGAAGCGATAAACACCATAATTTACGATTCTCCTCTAGTTGGGCATTTAAGTTACTTCCATCTTTTCAGTATTATAAAAATTACCATAATGAACATCTCTGTGTATAAAGTTAGATTATATATAAGATTGATATGGTGGGGTAGATGAATAGAAATGGAATTACTGGATCAAAGGGCGTAAGTGTTTTTGAAGCACAGTGGTTAAGAATCTGCCTGCCAATGCAGGCGACACGGGTTTGAGCCCTGGTCTGGGAAGGTCCTACACCTGGTGGAGCAACTAAGCCCATGCACCACAACGAGCCTGCGCTCTAGAGCTTGCGAGCCACAACTACTGAGCCCACGTGCCACAACTACTAGTTCCCCCACCAGGGATGGAATCCATGCCCCCTTCTGTGGTAGGGTGGCGTCTTAACCACTGGACCACCAGGGAAGTCCCTCCTTGCTTTTTAAGAGAGTAAGCTGAATGAGGCAGGGTGGGTTTGGTGAGAGTAACGGCACATTCTGGGTTCAATGGTGTGTGAGGGCTTCTGGATAGAGACACGGGGGTAAATGGAGGCTAACAGAGATGCTCCTAGGAAGCCAACAACCCCTTCTTCCCAAATCTTGGCAAGAGCATCACATTTTACCTTTGGAAAAGCACAGGGAAGCCACTCCTCACTCCCAGTCCCCATTTTCTCAGGCTGTTCAACAATCCAGTCTATTATCATTTCTTAAAAGGACCCTGGGACTTCCCTGGTGGCGCAGTGGTTAAGAATCCACCTGCCAATGCAGGCGATACGGGTTTGAGCCCTGGTCCAGGAAGATCCCACGTGCCGCAGAGCAACTAAGCCCGTGCGCCACAACTACTGAGCCTGCGCTCTAGAGCCCGCGAGCCACAACTCCTGAGCCCCCGTACCACAACTACTGAAGCCCGTGCACCTAGAGCCTGCGTTCCGAAACAAGAGAAGCCATCACAATGAGAAGCTCGCGCACCGCAACGAAGAGTAGCCCCTGCTCGCCGCAACTAGAGAAAGCCCATGCACAGCAATGAAGACCCAATGCAGCCAAAAATAAATAAATAAAAGGACCCTATGTATTGCCCTGAAAATATATAGTTTCTGCAAATCTCTCTCCACCCTCCCATACTACTTACCCATATCGATGACGACCCACATCACGGATGAGCCTCTCAGAGAGGTAGGCGCCAATGCGATCGAGCTTTTCTGGAGCTGACAGGGCGTAGAAGGTCAGCTTCTCCATGTTGGTCTTCACCAGGCCATCCTGTAAAAGACAGATCATCCTCACTGTGGCCATGAGATGGCTAGAAGACTTCAAGTCTAAAGGTAAATGGTTATTCAACTTAATCAACATTTACCAGAGTGCCTATAATGTATGTGACACACACGTGGGTTTTGGGGACCTAGAGATGATTGAAACATAGACCCTGCTCTCCAGGAACTCACAACTTCACCCAAAGTGTGCTAGCTATAAGCAAAAATAGTCAGTGATATAAATGTGCATATGTGTGTGCATGTGTACACTATATGTATTTTTATATATATATGTGTATATACATGAAGGTATATATGTGTGCGTGTGTATATGTGTGTATATGAATGGATGACAAATCTTCAATGAAAGCAATGCAGAATTAAAATGTACTGGATATCCAACATCGAGAAGTGAACAGGAAGAAGGTAGCTCTGCAGCTTTCAGGGAATTGTCCAGAGGATGCTGGAAATGTGACCCTCCACTGCCTATCAGGAAGAGGTCATTGATTTCCAGAGAAGAAGTCAAGTACATCAGACCCTTTCCGAAACCACATAACCCATAATGAAGCCTGACCGTAGAGTGGCAGGTTGGAAACCAAGAAGCCAGGTGTCCCCTGTGCCCGCTTGACACCTGGCAGATACCAGAGGGAGCGTGGAGAGGACATGAGCTCCAGAGCCAAAACCCAAGCAGGGAAATGCTCACACCTGACAACAGGGAAATAGTACCATTCAGAGTTAGCGGCTCAAGGAACTATCACCCAGAGAGACATGAGTGAAGAGAATGCTCAGCAGTGGCCAGAAGCACCGAGCACACCGAGACACACTTCCAGAGCCCTCTACGGATCCTGCCTGCAGAGGGGTCCAAAGCTCCTCATTCTTCAGGCTCCCAGCTGCCTCTGGTCACTGATGGGGCCGTGGCCAAGGTTTCGGTGTGTCTGAGCGAGCCCCGGGGCCTTCCCTCCCTCGGAGCAGCCCCCAGGGCCCTGGATGGGGTAAGGTGGTGAGAGGCGTGCTGGCGGCAGGAGACGAGACCCACCTCGGGATCCTCAGGGAAGATGTTGTCCACCAGCCTTTTGTACCTGGGGCGCAGGGCACCGCAGCAGCCACATACACCTGCAATGGCAACAAGAAACACCGGGGAGCTAAGCCTCCTGGTTAGGCCGAGGGGACCAGATTGTTGTTTGTGAGAAACCAGACCCAGGCTGGAAACAGAAGGGTCCCTCCCTTAGAGTGCCAGGGCCTTGGTCCTTCCCACTGCTTCCCCAGCCCCAGCCCCACTCCAAGACGTCTGCCTTTTCCGCTGGGTGTCTTTGCTTGGAAATCAGGCATAGGTGCCAGCAGACCAGCACCTGTTCAGGAAGCCAGGCCATAGAACACACACATGTGTGCACACGTGTGTACACCCACGCACACACACACCCACACACACACTCACACCCACCCACACTCACACCCCCACTCTCACACACTCCTCCCACACCCACACCCACAACTCACACTCCCACACACACTCACTGTAACCCACACTCACACTCCCCCCCACACCCACACACACTCTCACACACTCCCCCACACCAACACCCACACCCACTCAATGTCACACACACTCCCCACACACACACTCCCACACACCCACACATCCACTCTCACACCCACACATTTCCCCCCCACTCCCACACACCCACTCACATCCACACACACTCACTGTCACACACCCACTCACACACACACTCCCCCACACACAACCACACACTCCCACACACCCACACTCTCTCTCTCATACACACACACACACACCACACACATACACACACTTGCTCTCTCTCTCTTTGGGAGACTATACAACCGTCTCCTGCAGCCCAAGACTCTTCCCCAGTGTCCTGGAAGATGGACACAGCTTGG